GTTGGCTATTCCATCCGGGTTCTTTGCAAAAACTGGGCAACAGGGGCACACCCAGAGCCACACGGATCAGCCTTCTCAGATCCTGAAGGTTCTGCCTTCCATCCCTTCGTCTCCTATTCAGTGGGGATAAGTGTGTAAAGAGGAGAAGAAGGAAGACGTGGCCCGGAGTCATTAGGGCCACGGTGCTTGACCTCAGATCCGGAAGGGCAGTGTAGTCACTTACGACAATCTATTGGCTTCCTCAGCAGGATGGACATCCTCTGAACTGGTGTCACTGCCACTCTTGGAGACGGACTTGGACCCGCCGTCCAGGGAGCCGGACTCACTGCTGTCGTCCCTTCTGAGCAGAGACGTCTTCGACATGGTGCGTCGGCGGCAGTGACTCAGGGTGAAGGCCTGTAGCAGCCTCGAGCCAGGCTTCCATGGGCTTTTCCCCAGAGAAACTGGCGCTGGACAGCAGGGGAAGCTGGAGTTGACTGGGCCTCACCTGGCTTTTGGGGGACCAACGAGCGGCTCATCTCAGTGTCCCTTGCATTTGATTGGCCACATGCCAGGGCTTGCCTGGACTTTCAGCCCCTCCCGGTTCAGCCCTTAGTGGTACAGGACAAAGTGAACAGTGTGACCGGAAGGAAGGAGGCACCATTGGACTGGAGGTCCCGGTGCCTGGATGCAGGGCCAGGCTCAGTGCTCTGCTGCCTCAGGCAAGGAGGAAGCCAGAGCTACCTCACAATGGAGGCCGCCCAGCCAATAAAGTGCTGCAGAATCCCAGGGTGCAGGCGTGGCCCAGCAGAGGGTAGTCAGCCTGCCCCTTCCTGGGGTAGGGGTGAAGCTTGGCTTTTAATGCCCAGCTCACATGCCACCTGCTCAGAATGTCTGTACAGGAGGAGTGTATGACTGCCACCTGTTTGAAAGGGAGTGCAAGTAAACTTAGAAAAAGTTATTTATTCAAAAAATATTTATTGAGCATCTAGAATACAGAGGTAGGTAAAAGTAGGTTTATAGTTGTGAGCATGTGAAAATTTATTCTTGTATTATTTATTTATCATTGTATTTGTTATTATTACTAACCTCCTTTTTCCTACCCCTGTATGCTAGGCACTGTTCTCCATACTAGGAGCATGTCCTGTGTACGTTCTGGGTAAGGAACTTAGAGCAGGGGCAGGAATAAGTGCACAGGTCCTGAGGCAGGAGAGTGCCCGGGGTATTTCAGGAGCGATAAGGCCATGTGGCTGGCTCAGTGCGCATGGAGGACGGGGGAGCTGAGCAGAGGGGGCACACGTCTTGTTTTCCCAGGATTGTGCTTGTTGCCCTGGCACGATGAATAATTATTCATCATTAATATTGCCTCTTTTCACTACCAAAAGTACCCTGGCTTGAAGGATACATTACATGATCACATCAGAGATGCAGTTCGTGTGAGTGGAAGCAAGAAAAAATGGATGGAATGGGGTGGGCAGGAACTTGTAGGCCACTGGAATGCCTTTGGTTTTGACTGAGGGTTTTGAGCAGAGAAGCGACATGACTTGGATGTTAACAGGGTCTCTCTGGCCATTTTGTTGGCAGCAGACTGAAGCTGGGTGGGACAGAGGCGGCAGGAGGCTGTTACAATGAGCTAGGAGGTGGCTGCAGTGCCCCAGGTCGGCACTGGGTTACCCCGGGTGGTAGCTCCAGAGATGGTGATCAGTGACTGAAGCCTGGATGTCTGCAGAGCTAAAGCCACGAGGATATGCCCATGGACTCGATGTGAGGTGTACAGGAAAGACAGGGGTCAAAGGTGACTCCCGTGTTTCTGGTGTAACAGGACGGATGGGACTGCCAGGAATAAAGTCTAGTCTCAAAAGATGCACTTGCAGAGCAAAGCCAGGCACTCTGTCCTTTGACTGTAGGTTTATCTGTGGTGGTCTGGAGGGGTCACTTATGAAGACCATGGCGGGGGGGACAAACGTGTTCCCAGTGTCAACCCTTAGTAATGCTCCCTAACCAACGCTATGAGCCTCTTCTGTCTCCTGAATATCAGATGAGAGCTTTCCCTTCTCTGATGCCCTAAAGCCTTTTCTCAAGTTGAAAATAATTTCCCCTCCCTACCGCCTTTATTCATTGCTTTAATACTTAGTAGTGAATGCCTGCTCTGTATTAGGCAGGCACTGCAGACTCAGCAGTGAACACTTTCAAGGAGTCTGCACTTCAGTAGGAAGTAGGAAGATGACAATAAACAAGAAACAATAAGACAGTGATAGAGTATAATAAATGCTGTGCTTACCTCAAAACAAAGCAAAGTGATCACAAAACTACACAAGTGAGCATCACCGTCATCCAGAGAGAAGAGAGATAGATATTGTAATGGGCTTCGTTCATACACTTGTTCCACCACCGACCTGATATGTGATACAGCTTTTTAAAAAATTGGGAGGCCCTGGCTGGGTAGCTTAGTTGGTTTGAACATTGTCCTGATACATCCAGGTTGTGGGTTCAATCCCCAGTCAGGGCATTGAATACAAGAATCAATCAATGAATGCGTAAGTGGATCAACAAATCCATGCTTCTCTCTCACCCTCTCTCAAATCAATAAATAAAAAAGTTGTGGTAAAATATATATAACATAAACTTACCATCTTAACCATTTTTAAGTGTGCCGTTCAGTAGTATTAATGCATCCACCATTACCCTGAACGGGTGGCTCAGTTGCTTGGAGCGCTGTCCCGTACAACAAAAGGTTGTGGGTTCGATCCCCAGTTGGGGCACGTGTGGGAGGCAATGGATCAATGTTTCTCTCTCACATCGCTGTGTCTCTCCCTCTCTCTCTAAAATCAATAACTATATCCTTGGGTGAGGATTTTTAAAAAGCCTTAATATGTTGCCAGATTCTATTTGCTGTTATTTTTGTTTGAAGTCCTTGCTTTTTAATATTTGGTCATAGTTTTGGGGTGTGCTTTGTTAGATTTTGGTATCAGAATCAGGACACCTGTGTGTGCAAAGTAGGGATGACTTTCTTCTGTCTGTGTCTGTGAGGAATTTAAATAGCATCAGGTAATACTGTACGATGGCTTTGCTCCTGATTCACCACACGATCTCCAGACTCCCACCTCCACTTTACAGCTGCTTCCTTAGTCGTAAAGAGAGGCTATTGGGTTTCTAATGTTTACACATGTGTAACCCATTGGACACCATTTTCCTGTTTGTTTGCTTTTCCCCACTTTGATCACCACCATTCAAAGGGTTTTCTTGGGCTCTGTCATGCAGGAAGGAGTGTTGGGGTATGAATGTTTGAGTCCTGGACCCATCTGTCATCATTTGATGGTCAGCATGTTACTTAATATCTCTGAACCTGTTTCCTTGTCTGAAAATGGGGACAGTGACAATACGCACTTCACTAAAAAGTCAGGAATAAACGAGGTAATCCTACAAAAAGCAGTAAGTGTTCAATGAGGGAAGGAAGGATTTTCTATGATCCTTGACTTAATAGCAAACTCCAAAAGATAAAGAATCAGTAAGTTAAATGGAGGGGGGCAGTATTTATGTAAAACCCAGTACCAGACAATTGAAAATTTAATATTCTCCTGTCTGCTGTAGCTCAGAGGGTTGAGCACCGGCCTGTGAACCAAAGGGTTACTGGTTTGATTCCCAGTCAGGGCAGATGCCAGGGTTGCAGGCCAGGTCCCCAGTAGGGGGCATGTGAGAAGCAACTACACATTGATATTTCTCTTTCTCTCTCTCTCTTTCTCTCTCTCTCTCTCTCTCTCTCCCTTACTTTCTCTGAAAATAAATAAAACCTTTTAAAAAATAAAAATGTAATATCCTCAATAGTCAAACACAGTTCTAACAGTTGGTAGTCTTTAGTATTGTTGGCAGTTACTAATGAGTCTCCCCAGTTTGCTTTTATGGGTTACATCAGTATTGCTAAACTTACTTTTTTCTTTCTAAGATTTTAGTTTATCCAGGTTGGTCTAAATAATAAGATTAACCTGATGACTTTGTGCAGTAGGGTTTTGTCCTTAGAGAATGAGTGTGACCACTTTTTAGTAACAGAAGACCATGTTAAACTTAGCAAAACTTAATGGGACGACGGTGGGGCAGGGTGAGAGAGACAAGTTCGGAGAGAGGAAGACGGCTTTGCCAAGGTTCTGCCTGACCAGTGGAAGTCCTTTGGGTCTGCTGATGAAACAGAGAAGTCAGGGGTGGAGGTGATACGCCGCCACCTGGCAAGGTGGGCTGTGGACCACTGCACAGGCTGAGTGTCCCCTCTCCTGGTAGGTACTCTGCAGACCCTGGGATCTGGGCGTGGTCAGGCAGCCCGTCCTTACACGAGCAGGGCTTGTGCCCCTGAAGTACCTTCTGGGAACCCAACAGGTGGAGAGTAACAGGAAAGGAGCGGACCAGGACTTGGGAAGTGAGGCAGGCACATATTCCCCCACCGCACCCCCGAATTTTCCCTAGGCTGATAGGGAGGTTTGTGGTTGAAAATAAGCAGAAAGGGCCTTTTTCAAATGTTCCTTTAAAACTGAGGCTAAAAGAAGCGGGGATCATTCTCGTAAACCACAGAGAGTATGATGAGAATCTCCTTCCCCTTGGACTGCAGATCTGCATACTATCTATTTACTTGGTTATTCAGGGTCGTTGTCCCAATTTTAGTAATTTTACGAGGGAAGGAGCAAATACCACCAGGAGGGCTGAGGTGGTGCTGACTGAGCTGCCTGGCATCTGGCCAAGGTCATGAGAGAGGGCACTGGAAATGTCGAGGCAGCAGGACTGAATTCCCTGCTGGGAGACCCAGTTCTCAATGGCAACACCTGTGGAATGTCATTGCTAGGACTCCAGAGCAGTGAGTGTCCCCTGCCCTTATAAGGACCTGTGCTGAGTTGCTTACCTGCCATTCTCTCCCAGAGGACAGTGGACCAGCTTTTTGAGGGCCAGGATTCCTTTTTCACTCACTGATGTATGTCCATTAAAGTGATGTATCAGTTAACTTCTGCTGCATAAAAACTCCCATACCTTATGGCTTCAAATCACAAACATTTATTATTTTCTCGCAATTCTGTGGATCATCTGGTCAATTCGTATGGTCTGGGTCGGCTTCACTGGGGCTGCATGTAGTCTAAGAATGGCTTCACTTATGTGTCCGGAAGTTGGCAGGCTGACAGGCTTGGGGGGGCAGGGCTCAACTGGAATAGTTGGTTTCTGCTTCACACGGCCTCCCATCCTGCAGCAGGCTTTGTCACCTGGCGGTCTTGGCTCCACAGCACAGCAAGGGGTGAAAGCCCTGATGCACAAGCCATCGACAAACCTCTGTTTGCATCACCTTTACTAACATCCCCTTGGCCAAAGCACATCAAAGTCTAAGACCCGATGCCAAGAGTAGATTTCCCCTCTTGATGGGAGGAGCTGAAAAGCCACATTGTCGAGAGGAATTTGTGGCCAGTTTTGTAATCTACTACAAGAGCCTAGAACTATGCTTGGCCCACAGTAGGTAATCAAGATGGTGCAAGACTTAACAGGAAAATAATGTCCAATGGTGTCATTGTCCACCCCTTCCCCCCGCCATTGGCACAGCTATTTCCATGCCTCCGATCTATTGCTGGGATCTTTGAATTGGGCCAAAGCTTTACCCAGTGGTTTAGAAAGTGTATTGCCCTTGACAAATATGATGGCTCTTCTGTCTGCAAGTTGTGGCTCACAATGGCCCTCTTGGCCCTCTCCATCTCAATGCTGGAGCTGTCCTCACTTTGCTGAAACCCTTTGTCTATCAAACCCAGGTCAGCCTTAGCGGGCCACACCTCCTTCTGCCAGTTGCTGCCACTTGGGTGCCCCCAGTGGCGACTTCTTGCATAGCTCCACTCAAGGTGTAAAAATCACTGTGAATTGCCAGAAAGTTGGATGGAATTGAGAGTCTACCATGGGAGAGCTCTCAACGTAGCAGAAAGCTAGAGATGGAAAGAAAAGGAATAAAAAAAAATTTAAATTACCATCTTAGACCTCGTAGTTGGTGAGTCCTTGCAAAATAAAGATAATGCATGTATAAAAGAGTTCCATATCGTTAAAAATCAGGTGCTGGTGGGTGAGGAGCTGTGCCATTCTCACTAAATAAAAGTGGTAGAGTTGGAAAAGGTGGCAGGGTGTCCCGGCTGGATCAGCTCGTCCAGGGCCTGGTAGGTCCCCACCACAAAGCCCACGAAGCCCAGGATGCTGATCAGGATGTCCTTGGCGATGGCGAGGGGGCTCATGCCCTCCGAGTAGTAGGTGGTGATCTCCAGGAGGGGCGGGATGATGAGCGCCAGGGCGCTGCTGCTCACGGAGCCCATCAGGGCGAGGACCAGGTCCAGGCGGGGGATGAGGATGGCCAAGACGCCTGCGGGAGAGGATACGGGAGAGGCAGATCATCTGGGCTTAGCTAAGCTCTTAAAGTTTGTTTTTAAAATCTTTTTCTTAAAACAGAAGCCAGTTGTTTCTCATACAGTCAGTCACATAAAGAAAAAGTTGAAACTCCCATAATGCCCTCTTTCGCATTCACTCAAGGTTACACACGAAAAATTTGCTGCATCTCCTTCCAATCGTTTTTCAAATATATGGATTCATATCCTTGGGAGGAAAAAGCCCACTTAGGTTCCGTGATGGGGTCCTGCAAACTTAACTGACAATAGACAGGTTAAGAGGAGAAAAGACAAAGCTTATTCAGGGCTAGGGAGCCTTCAGGTGAATTGGCTCCTGGAAGAGCCAGAGACAGGGGTTCCCACCCCCATTTTCTAGGGTGAAGGGGAGAGGGCAGAGCTTCTCCGCAAGACAAGTGGAAGGCATGACGGTCTCAGATGAAGTTTTTTCAAGTAATTTCTCGGTGTGTCATGACAGTCAGTCTCCGTCCTGGCTGAAAACCTCCCAGAGAGGGAGCGTCTACTTTCAGGAGGGTCCTGCTTAATTCAGCAAAGGAAGTTTGGATAAAATGAATTCTTCTTTTCCCCCCTGTGGCTGCTGTTTGTTCAAATGTTTTTAGTTTAAAATAATGCTTATGCCACTAAGGTACATTGTGAATCCCTGCATTTTCAATGATTCGGCTACACTAAATAACAGTGTGGGAAGTGTGCCGACTATTTAGCATGAATCGATGTATAAAACAGGCGAAAACGGAGAACACAGCCTGCCGTCGCTGAGCTAACACTTTAATCGCTAACGTGACAATGGAAGTGGGTCTGGAGGCGGGATTCTGGCTTCTCGTGTGGCCGTGGGCAAGCCCCTGCCCCCTTCTCATCTTATTTCCTCACCTACAAAACAGGGATTAACAGTATCTATGCTTTTAGGTATTATGGACCACATTTCAAACAACATTAAAGTTTTAAACAAGTTAATCAATGTAAAGCACCCAGGAAAGTTATTTACTGTTATGTACTGATTGGGGCAATGCGTGCTAAAGTCCTGGTTTTAGGCTTCAGAAATTCTTAGCTTCATATCTGGGACAAGGTCCTTCCTCTGTCTGGAGTCTGTAAGGTTCTAAATGGTAGTGTCCCTGCCTCCCGGGGCCGATTGGGAAGAGATTGCTTCAAAGGGGGAAAATCGGTGTCCAGTGAACTATATGGCCTGGTCTAGTACAGCAAGGAGCAAGAGGGAGACTCTTAGAAGCACAATTAAAAGGAGCTTTAGGGATAGCTGGGCCCTGTCACACTCAGTGCGGGAATCTCTGTCACTCCCCTTGTCCCCGCTGAGGTACTCTCGGAAATGGGGCACCCGGGTTCTTGGGGCCTGGAGCGGGGGGAGGGCTGCAAGGGGGTGAGTGGGGCCGGCTGAAGCCAGCCAGTGAGCAGGGCCCGTCCTGGGGGCAAGTCCAGCTGATTTCTGCCAATGGGGAATGTGACCCTAGAGTTGCCAAATCATTGACCCCCATCCCACAAAATGTTAGAAACATGGATTTGTATGTGAATCTCCCACATTTTTAATGCTGACCCAGATTGGTACATTTATACAGTGCGAGGGTCAAACAACACAGCTCTGCTGCCAGATGAGACTCACTGGCTCATTTGCAACCTCTCTCCGGGGGGCGGAGGGTGCTGGCTCTGGGCTTTGGTGACTTGGGTTCACATCCCACCTCTGGCACATCTTGGCCAAATACTCATCACTCCCTGCGCCAGCATTCTCATTTGTAAAGTAGGGTTTATTATAGTCCTACCTCATAAGGGTTCCTGCAAGACCGAATGAAAGTCTACGAAGTGTGGACTAAAAAAAGCATAGCAGCGTGGCTGGCACACAGTAGGTGTTTAATAAATATCAGTCCTGATATGATTGTTGTTTGATAAGCTGCGTCCCTTCCTCAGGCTGTATGTACAGCAGTAGATCTGTCTAGGTAGTTGTGAGAATTGGGTTGCCCCTGAGATTAAATGAATTACTACTTGCAAAGCCTTTTCCGGTCCCTGAAACAGTTAGTGCTCAATCAACGCTGGTTAGTATGACTCTCCTTTATCATCTGGCTGATTTCCGATAGCTCTCAGACAAAGAGCAACACTTCTCTCTGCCCTCTACTCACACGTCAGGGAGACCATGGTGAAGCGGACGGACAGGTCCAGGAGCAGTGCCCAGCGTTTGGACACCCGGGAGACGGCCAAGGGGATGACGATTTCTGCGGGGACATAGAACTGCAGGGCGTAGCTGCACAGGATGCCAGTGATGTAGAGGAGCTTGACCGACTGGTACAGCCTGTAAGACAAAACAGCGATGCTTCCTCTGACCACTGGCCTCTGGCATCCAGCCTCCTCGCATGTTAACCTCTGACCTTAGGACAGTCCCTCTGGACTTCTAAGAGCCAAGAAGGGGTCCCAGCAGAGCACGCAGTGGAAATAGACTGAGCGTCACGGATTTGAAAGGCAACAGGTGAGAGGGTCTTCTTGAGCATAGGTATGGGTAACACCTCACAAACCACTATCACTCGATGCTCCATTTCCAATATTAGGATGGGGGGCTCAGTCTGGGTACCTTGCCCAGGGAGAGACAAGTGATAAGTCATGAAGACCAAAACCCTGGGTCTAAAAGACTCTGGTCCCTGTGATCTCTGTCCTTAAGAATTCTCTGGATCCCCCAAAGCTCTTGGCACATGACAAATGTTTCTAGTAGGTTGCCAGAACTGCAGAGGCCCAGATGCTTGGGGGAGGAGGCAGTCTACAGATAGGGCTGTGTGAGGGCTGGGGGGTAGAAAGAGGGCGGGTTCCTTGCAGGCTGCAGACTGGAGGCAGAGAGAGTGTGTGATGGAGGGTGTTGAGTTTTATCAAAGCCTTTTTTGACCTAGGTAGATATGACATTTTTTCTTTAATTCACAAACATGATATGTTCATCTCCCATGTTTGATAAACCTGTGCATTTATGTGTATGTCTGAGCCTGTGTTTAGGTCATTCCTTAAAAGGCTGACGTCCACATTTCTGTGTTTTTTGCTCTCACTAGTCCCGATGCCTGGAATACCACTTATTCCATTTTCATCTGTCCAAACCCCACTCATTTCTTGAATCCCATCTTTTGAGCAGGTACTACATGCCAGATGCTTTTAGACATGCCCAACTCAATCTTCTTGCCAATTCTGCTTTATAGATGAGGAAACTGAGGGTCAGAGAGGGGAAGGAAACCATCCACGGCCTCAAGTCGGGAGGCAGTGCAACTGGAACCAGGACCCAGAAGCGTCAGAGTTGGCCTTGTCTGGGCAGCGTTGTCTTATTAGACAACAGCATTCTCTGTTGCCTTATTCCAATGTAGTTTCTTTCCTCCAAAGTCCCCAAGGCCTTTCCTTGCTGCTGAGGCTCAGTGGATTAGGCACTGTTCTGTAAACCGAAGGGTTGCAGGTTCGATTCCCAGTCAGGGCACATGCCTGGGTTGCAGGCTTTGTGCACTGCCCCACTGGGGCTCTTGCAGAAGGCAGAAGGCAATCAATGTTTCTCTTTCATGTCAATGTCTCCTTCCCTCTCTTTCTCCTCCATTCCTCTCTCTTAAAAATAAAATAAAATAAAATAAAAATAAAAAAAAAGAAAGTTCCTGAGGCCTCTTTGTTCCTCTGGAGGGCTTCTTTTTCTATTCTGTGTTATAATTGCTTATATATACTATCTATCTCTCCCACATTCCCAGTGGATTATGAGTCAGGCAAGACAGTGAGTGAAGCTCAAGTTCATAGTCTACTCACATCAGCACACTCCATACCCCCATGTGTCTAGACTGGCATCTGTGTATAATGGGCATGCAGTAAATGCTTGATGAGTGACATTCATCAGCTTAGGAAAGGTACCCCATTTAAGGCAAATTAAGCCTCCAAGTCACCCTTAAAAACGCAGGCATCTTGTAATTAATAATATGCCTCGGTGTTGAAGTCTGGCGCAGCTAACTGTTGCGTGAACTGAGTGCATTTGAACAGAACATTTTTACAGCGGCCTTCCCAGATGGGTTCTGCTTTACTGCTTTTTCATCCTAGCTACTCTGATGCAGCACATGGACCACTGGCCGTGGCAAGCAAGACTTGGCAGCACAGCCTTTGCAAACATAATTGAAAGTGTTGCCACCCACCAACTCCTCTCTCTGCCTCTTGAGCTCCTCAGACCCTTCCCTTCTCTCCTTAGGCTCATTTCTTCCCTTTCTCCCCAAATCACATCCTCCTTCATACCGTGCCAGCAAGGCCTTGCCCAGCACAAGAGCCCGTGGTGGGAGAAGGAGCTCCCTGAACAGGGGACCCAGAGCCCAGGGCTCCCCCTGGGAGGCCCTCCAGACCTCAGTCTGCCATCTGTGGAAGGAGGAGCAAGTGACCTGAACATTCCTACCCAGCCCAAGTCCCCACCGCCTGAGGGCCCGTAAAGTTACCAGCAGTTGGGCAGGTTAAGGGTTATGCTGGCCTTGATGTCGTTTTGAAACCGCAAGTAGCCCAGAACACTGATGACAATGTACAGAGCAGTGATGATGGACATTCCCAAGGACAGGATAGCTGGGAAACGGCGGGTGTCTTTCATCTTGTTCTCCAGGGGCAGAACCTACGGAAATAGCACAGTGTGAGAAGACGGGAGGAGAAACAGGGACGTGAATATGAAGAAAGGCACACCACTTCTGGGTATATGCCAGGAGAATTGCAGCAGGACCTGGAACTGCCCCATGTCCACGGCACCACGATTCACAACAGCCAAAGGCAGAAGCCGTCCAAGTGTCTGGTGATGGATGGATGGATAAACAGAATGTGGTACATATACACAATGGAACATTATTTGGCCGTAAAGAAGAAGATGATTCTGACACATGCCACAACATGTATGAATCTCGAGGACATTATACTAAACAGAATAAGCCAGACACAAAAGGACAGATACTGTATGATTACACTTATATGAGGTATAAATTCAATACAATTTTTTAAAAATAAAAGAAATGCTAATGAAGGGTCTTCATGCTGGTGGAAAATGTACAAGAAGGAAACTTGTGAATTCAAGAATAAAGAGCACTGGGGAGTGGGGGATGGGATGGGAGTAAAAGACAGAAAACTGTACTTGGACAACAATTAAAATAAAAAAAAGATAAAAAGCAGCAAAAACCATAATTATCTGGGTAGATATAAGAGACTATTTTTCTCCTTGTAAGTTTGCTATAAGTAAGGAATATGTATGATTGTCTGATGGTAGTTTTTAAAAAAGATTTTATTTATTTATTTTTAGACAGAGGGAAAGGGAAGGAGAAAGAGAGGAAGAGAAACGTCAATGCGGCTGCCTCCCATGCGCCCCCTGCTGGGAACCCAGCCTGCAGCCCAGGCTTGTGCCCGAACTGGGAATTGAACCGGTGACCCCCTGGTATGCAGGCCCATGCTCAGTCCACTGAGCCACACCAGCCAGGGCTCATGGTGTTTTCATGTACTTAGATATAATACCGATGGGCAATACAACATAGAGGGAGGAAAGTAAAAGGACCTATATGACTATAAGATTTTTACATACAGTTTACCAGAAATGATAAAATATTAATTCTAAGTAAACCATGCAAAATTATTTATGTATATTAGAATCCCCAGAGCAACCACTGTAGGTATTAGAGAAAAGAGATATACTAGGCAAAAATGCAATAGGCAAACAAAAGTGGACTACTAAGAAGTATTAAAATAGCCCTGGCTGGTATGGCTCAGTGGTTGAGTGCCGGTCTGCAAACCAAAGAGTTACCAGGTCGATTCCCAGTCAGGGCACATGCCTGGGTTGCAGGCCAGGTCCCCATGGGGGACATGCAAGAGACAACCACACATGGATGTTTCTCTCCCGCTCTTTCTCCTTCCCTTCCCCTCTGTAAACATAAATAAATAAATAATCTTAAAAAAAAAGAAGTATTCAAATAATCCAAAAGAAGATGAAAAAGGAAAGGCAAGAGGAAGGGTAAAAAAGAAAACAAATAAAACACAGATGTACTAACCATAATAATTATGTGAACCACAAATAGTCTAACCGCATCAATTTAAAAGACAAAGATGGTCCAATTGGCTTAAAAGCCAAGACTCAATTATATTCTGTCTGTGACCTAGCGGACCTGCTCCTAGAGAAACAAAAACTTACGTTCACACAAAAACCTGCGTGCAAATGCTTATAGTGGCATCATTCATAACCATCAAAACCTGGAAACAACCTTAATTTGCTTCTGCAGATGACCTGGTAAACAAATTGCAGTATCGCTGTACAGTGCATGCTCAAGAGATGGAAAGCGATGGGTGACAGATGCAGGCAACAATATGGATGATCTTAAATGCATCTAGGGGGAAGAAGCCAGTCTCAAAAGGTTACACACTGTATGATTCCCTGTCTGTTCTGGGAAAGATAAGACACTACACACAGCGAATGGAAGGTGGTTGCCAGGGTTAATGGTGGCGGGGGAAGTTGACTACAAAGCAGGCAAACTGGGGGAGATTTTTGTGGTGAGGGAATTATTCTGGGTCCTGATTGTTGTGCATCAATGACTCCAAGTTTCTCAAAACTTATAGAAATCTACAATGCCCCTTCACCCCCCCAAAAATGAATCGTACTGTATGTAAATGAGAAGTAAACTTAAAATGTTATATACACAGCATTCTCCTTCCTCAAGGAGGGGAGTACAGACTATATAATAATCCACTGTAAGTATACAGTATTTTCCTGTTTAAAACTTGTTTATGTTTCATCAAGTCCTGTCATTTAAATTATACATCTCCCTTTGTCTTGATTCTAAAAGATTAGGAAACATGGGTGGCTATGAAGATAAAGGTTTAATAGATGTACTGGAACAGGATTAGAACTCTGTGTCCCGAATGCTGCTCTGTCGTAACCCACTTTTCTCCTGCTGATGACAACTGACTCTAGTGAGGCCAGGGGTTCCAGTCTCTCGGTCTCTCATGTGCGTGGAAAACCAGAGCTCCCACCTCCTGCTCAGAAGGCCACCCACAGCGCCAGGGACCTGCTACCCCGAATCACGCCTTACCAAGCCAATGCTTTCAAATGAAAAAATAGCTGTTCCAAAGAAGAGAGAGTAGGTCTCCCAACTTGTTGTCAGTGGTAGCTGGCTGGGGTCCGGAATATCCTATAGAAAAGAGACATGGGGTAAGACATTAACCCTCAGAGTATGTTTGGGCTCCTTCAAGAGAGTATTCTGAAAGTAGACCTGATTTTTTTTTAAATGAAATGTCAAGAAATTTAGAAAACGTCAAAAGGAAGTAGGTAATAACAAGTTGATTTGAACACTGCTCCAGAGCAAACAGCCGGGGGTGGCGGGGGGGCGGGGAATCAAGGCACTGTCAAACTACTAAAGAAGCAGAATCTCACACACACAGGGAGCCTGGCTCATCAGATTCCAGCAAAAGAAAGGCTTGCCTGCCAGAGGTTAGCACCGACCTAAAGTGCCCAGGAGCACTTTGAAGGTACAGTGGTCACAGGGGCATGGAAATTGCTGACTGTAGTTACAGTGAGATTCCAGGGAGCCCACAGGAATTGGTTAAATAGGAAAGTCTCCTCCTCTTCGTCAACGAGCTACACAATGAAGAGGGAGAAGGTGCATGAAAGAAGTATGCTCTGTACCCTGTGACCCAAAACGTGAAAATCGTCACAGGACCATTCCCCTAATTGGGCAACCTCTGGAATTGTCCCAGTATGAATCAGGAAAGTTATTTCACTATAAAATCAATTTTGTGGCATTTATCAATATTGCTTTAAGGAATATAACACTCACCTATAGTTGTCCTAAAATATTTGACTATTTTGTTAATATTACTAAATTCCATGGACAATATAACTTTTTTTCCCCTTGTGACTCCTGAAAGAGAAAAATACCTGAAAGGTATTAGGTATAACAAAGGGCTTTGGGGGTTTAAATTTCTATGTAGCCTTGTCCATTCTACAAAATAAAAATTAGAAAGGATAGAAAAGTAGGAAATTGAGGGAAAATTAATATTCATAACTCAACTTCAAAGACATAATTTATATCATGATAGATTGGCTTTTGGTATTTCAAGGCTTTATATCTCTGTGATAAAGTATGAGTGTTTTTTTTCCTCCTGAGTGCCCTAAGGGTGATTTTGAATGCCTAGAATTGTAGCTAGAGTATGTAAGACTATACAGATGAAATTCGATAGGAAGAGGTTGCTTTTCATCTGCCTTTTGCTGCTTATCCAGCTATTCCAAGAATGATCTGTAGGTCACCAATTAAGATGTTTTCCTTGCAAAACATTTTTTTAAAGCCAGAATTTGACATCAAACCAGTATAGGAGAAGCAGCATGAAAGAAGAGACATCCAGAAGGATCAGATTTCACAGGGACATCTTTATGGAAGGAATGTCATGGTGAGACGCGTACTAGGCTGAAGAATGAGGTGAACGTTCCCTACCCAAAGTGCTGGCGCCAGGTATGAGTCTGTTATTGATAAAAGCCTCCGCCCCCGGCAGGAGTTAGGTCTGTGGTATGCACGAACCTGGGCGATGTACTGGCTGATGATGATCAAGCTGACCAGCATGCTGATGTTGGCCAACATGGAGAGGATGGACATAATCCTGAGGTTCCGAATGAGGACCAGCAGCATCAGGAAGGGCAGGAAGGCGAGCATGTAGAGTCGAGAGTCCATGGTGGGCATTGGAATCACTGTCTCGTTATTGTGGCAGCTGATGGTGGTGCCATTCATGGCTTCCACCACCTGGGGGAAGGATGAGAAAAACAAGTGGAAGAATCAGTAAATCTTCTGGCCACATGATTAGCTCAGTCCTGGTGCACAATCAGACTCCCTCCCCCAAAGGGCTAGAGTATCTCACTTGAATTAGGGTGAATTTAAGACCTCTTATTATAAATCTTCTGTACCATACCTCCTCAAAAGAGGCAGCACAAATACATGTATCAAATTCTTTTTCTTTTATTGATTCTGGAGAGAGGAGAAAGGAGGGAGAAAGAGAGGGAGAGAGATATCGATCAGTTGTCTCTTGCACACACTCCAATCGGTGACCTTGGGGTGTGCAGGACAGCACCCAACTGACTGAGCCACACCAGCCAGAGCTAGTAGAAATCATTTTAAAAAATAACTGGATTTATAGCAGCTATTTGGTAGCTTTTGGCAACCCAGCATCCATTCCTCCTGGTTTTGATTTATTATCAGTGAATTCTCTCACCCAGATACAACCTTGGAGGACTGTAAGTCACAGACATGTGGCAGAACTACAGGACTGGCCTTTGGTTCAACTGGGGCATTCACAATCTCCTCCTGCAATCTGGATCTAAACAACTAGCAAAACAACACAGGGACAGAATAAGAGAGCATACAACTTAATTTTGACAAGGGATCCCTGAGGAGACATCAGTCCTGTCTACATCCCCGAGACTGCCCTGGTTCCTGTTCTTTTCTGAGACTCCCCTACCCCTTCTTTTAGCCTTCTCTGTTATTTGGAAGTTAGTCAATGTTCTTCTACTAAACTTATTTTCTACTCAGGTTCCCCAGAATCTCTTTCTTTTGCTTAAACAAACAAACAAACAAACAACCTCCACCCACCACTTAACTGTCTTAAATAAACCAATACTGGCATTTTGAGTGACAGAACTCTTTCTTGAGAGGATTGGACCATTCACTGCAGGACACTTACCATCCCTGGACCCCACCCAATAAAATCTATTAGCACCCCCCACCATTGCAACAAACAAGAAACACCGTCCTATGCACAATATAAATACCCACTGGCAAAGTCAGGACAGGGGAGGGATGGTACCACCCTCAGTAAGAATCAGCATAACTTGATGGGAACTGTCTAATTGTGCAAGCAATCCACTGCACAACAATTAAGTTAGGCAAGAATAAAATGTAAAGCAAGGGTCTTCTAGATTAGTACCCACAGATAGCCACAGTAATGCTGTGGAATATATATGCATTTATCCATTTCCTATACAATATCACAATAACATGTATGATATGCATCCCTTTTAATTTATCAGACTACAATCATAGCATCCTCTTCTTTTGAAATGTCCTTTTCATTTAACAACGTATCGTGAATAGTTAAATAAATGATTGTCTTTTTTTTTCTGATTCCCCACTGCAGTAGAAAAGATACTTGAAACTTTAGCCAGGCATTCAAGGCCCTTCATAAATGAGCGCCATTCAACCTTGAAGGCTCCTCTACAACCAGCTGTATGTCTGCTCTGGAGCTCGTCCCCTGCATCCCGCCCACAGGTGTTCACTCCTCCCTCCTCCCTCCTTGGCTGCCACCACCGCTCTTCAGCACCCCGCTCAGGGGCACGTCCCGAGGGAGCCTCTCCTTGCTCACACGTTTCTACCCCTTAGTTTACAACAAAGCACCCAACCTCAGGGTGTTGGTAGTGGTGTCCTGACTTGGCACCACATTATCATCTTCATATTTAACTTTTTATGTTTTAGAACGCATTCCACTGAGTCTGCAAACTCCTCAAGACAATGCCTGCCTTGTCTCTGGACAGATGATAAATAAAGTTCTGCTGATGTCAGATTGATTTCTGAGCAGCAATCTGGCAACGTGTTTTAAAAGCCTTCAGAACAACCAAACTCTTTGACCCAGCAATTTTACTTTAAGGAATACATACTAAGGAAAGAAAGGGGTAGACTAAGGCTTGGGCAGATTCTAGTAGAAAAATAAAGGGAAACAAAGAAAATATCCAACAATAGAAGATGAAGTCATGGTCAATCTGTGTGATGAAATATTAGTAAACTATTAAAATTACATTGAAACCTGTAAGGAAATTGCAAAATGCTAACCAGTCAATACTATGTTAAAACAATAACCACAAGTGGTTGCATTAAGACCAATCTTGCTTTCTTTTGAGGAGCAATATAGCATAATGTTAAAGAACTTGAGCTCTGTCTAAAGGCCTACATTTTTTAACTGCGACTCTGTGGCCTTAGATACATTAAAGAGTTTATAGCAGTGGTTTTCTTGTCATACCTACTCTGATAAGGTCATGGAGAAAACTAAATGGGGGAAAGCATACAAAATGCTCAGTACTGTGCCTGACACATAATAGAAACTACCTCTGAATGCTTACTATTTTTTCCTGCTTTCTAATTTTTTCTTACATTTCTCAATTTCTGGTAATACCATGAATAGAAAAAGACCCTCCAAGGAACAGTTCTCTTTTTTAAGCTTACTGACTGATTGAAGGTGTCCTCTGTTATTCCTCATATTCGTTTGTTCCAACTGCTACATGGCAACTTCTGGGTTAGATGGAGAGAACTTCCTGGAGCCAACGGCTGTGAAACCAGGAAGGTGAAACAACTAAAGGTACATGTAGATGGCCCAAAGAAGGTCAGGTATTAGCCCAAAAGACCCTTATCAGTTTCAGAAGACTTTAGGATAATTAAACTACAAAGCAAGATTGCAAAATCCAAGATTCCTTGCAGTCTAATTTTAGAGACCAACCCTGAGGACAAGTCCAAGCCACTGGGCAAAGGTTATTGTGGAAAAAGTAACCACTTAAAGGAATCTGTGGCTAAGTGAACTGGGGAAAGTCTGGGTTTTTTGATAGCAACTAGTTTAACTTTCTGTTTTATATTGATGAGGACACCAGGACCCCGTAAAGAAGAAGCCTTTAGTTGAACAGCTAGAGGACACTCCAAGTCCATTTCCCTCCCACCTTCTCTAGAAGACTCTACCTGTTTTAAATTATCAGCCAGAAACACAATGTACACACAGCAGAAGCCCATCTGGGTGAATACAAGGAAGAAGGTCACCATATGCCTGGAAGAAAGGAGAGAGACAAAGAACACTTGTTATAAAAAAAGAGTTGGCTTGTCATGTCCACTCCTATCCCCTCTACCAGCACCCTCACTCGTGCCACCACAGTCAACAATGGGGCAGTAATACGAAGTGAGGTAACAATAGTTCTTTTATGAATATGTTTCTCAACCACCCTCACATTCTCAGCTCAGCAAGTGGTAAGATTCTTCATGATCAGGAACCTCTCCCCAACCTGGCTCTGATGCATTTCTTGTAACTGAAACTAATTGACGTAGGGCAGTAGCCACAATGCTTTCATTAGCTATTATTAACACTTAAAATTGTTTTCTACCTGGGCATTGAAGATACACAGACAAATAACACATGGTCCCTTCCTCTAGTGGTTTATAGACTGGTGGGAAAGATGGAACAAAAACAATATGGCAGTGAAGGCCATGGTAAAAAGGGCATTTTTACCCGAAGTATACAGCAGATAGTCTTCTTAGAAAAACCAGTACCTAAGTGACAGTCTCTAGGGAAAGGGAAGAAAGAGAGAGATCAAAGAAGAAAGAGACGGAGGAGGAAATGGAGAGAAAAGTGAAGAGAGAGCATTTCAGCAGAGGGATCAGGCAGAGTTCGCCAGCTGCCATGTGGAGAACACACAGAGGGCGCAAAACCAAGGATGGGAAGATCTTGAGTAGGAGACCCTTACGGTAACGGAGGCGGAAGATGGCAGCAGCCTGCACAAAGATGCGACCATTAAGATGAGAGGATTAAAGCATTTGAAGAGCTGTTAGGAAGCTAGGACTTACAGAACCCAGGGTAAAGAGAAAGGCAATGATCTAAGGAGATTGGCAGGTTTGTAGCTTGGACAACAAAACGAATTGGGATACTTAGAAGGAAGAGCAGGTTTTAGGGGGAGAGGGAAGGAATTACACATTCAGTTCCTGAATTGTTTAGCCTGAGGCTCCTATAGGAGACGTTCGGGAGACAACTACATATCGAGGTCTGGAACTGTGGATTTGTCAGTAATGGATAAAGCCTGGAGAAGGCAGATCAGCAGAGAAGAGTGTGCAGCATGAGAAAAAGGGAAGGCAGCATGAGAAAAAGGGAAGGCAGCATTCCAACCCCTGGAGAACACCGATATTGAAAGGAAGGACAGAAACAGAGAAGGCTGCAACAAATGCAAAGGAATGACCAGAGAGGTGGGTGGGAAACTAGGGTGAAAAAGAGTTTAACAGACAAAAGGAGAGAGAATGATTGAAGACGAGAATAGTCCATTGGACCCCATGCTGCTTAGAGGTTCTTCAGGGCAAAGAAGGTGCAACAAGGAGGTCTTTTAGGGCTTTAGCGGAAAGAGCTGTAGACACATAAGAACAAAAAAGCCAGGTGACTCATGGAAGAGATATGAACGGGATGTTCAGAAGTGAAGTCCGAGGGTAGCTTTTCTGGAAGCTACATTGTGAGCTCTGGTCTTGGTAGTGCTCATTTTGTTCATCATTTCAGACCCACTGCCTGAAGCACTTCCTGGTGCATTGTAGATATTCAGTAGACATCTATCTGTCGAATAACCTGATGTCGAATATGACGTAGGGTGATGGCTAGGGAATGGTGTACAGCCCAGGAAGCTTCATTAATTTATTTTATTATTTTTAAGATGGAGATACATGAATACATTTAAGTGTCAAGAAGAAAAGCGCGTAGTTCAAAAAAGAAGTTCAAATTATAGGAGAGGAGATGATTAGTGGAGTAAGGTTCCTACAAAGAGCAAGAGCCGAAAAGCTACTTTATATGCCCAACAATGAGTAAAAGGATTTGAGGGGTTGCAACGAGCAAAAACCTCCTCTTGGGTGACACGATTAGGAAAATTCTGGTTGTCATCCCATAGCCTTCCTAGTCTGCTCATTGGCTGACTTTGTTAATGCAGTACGTGAATGGGCTTTGGGCCAAGGAGGTGCCAGACCCGTGATGTTGAGTAGACTACATTAGATGAGCAGAGCACACCTCAGGTACTGCAGTCTGGGATATCATAATTCAGGGGACACTTTGACAGCCTACCACTGGTGGCAAACACAAGGCCTATGGGCCGAATCTGGCCCTCCACCTTGTTTTGTCTGGCCCACCACCTTGTTTCTACCCAGCAGCAGTCCTGAGCTCCTTGCCCCTAGTGAAGGAGCAGTTATATTTATATAGTCCTAAAATTACATTCAGCCCTTGGAAGGCAACTGCAAAGCTGATGTGGCCCCTGGTGAAAATGAGTTTGACACCCCTGATAGACAGTGCTCAGAAAAGAGGAGGCATATGGGGTGGGGTGAAATCAAAGACAAAAGAGTGGATTTAGTCCCAGGTACCTGAGGACAGAGGGGGTTGACTTGTTCTGTGTCCTCCCTGAAAGCTCAAAGGGGGGTGCCGCAGGAGGAAGACACCAGCCCACCAAAGGGTCATTAATGTATTAGCTCTTCTCCGTTTTTTCTTCTCATTATAAACTCACTCCCTAAGTAAGAGACTTCCTCTGCCCCCTGGCTTCATGGCTGATGACTTCAGTTCTGCATCTCCTGCATGAAGATAGTTTCACATTTATACATACAACTACCCACTTGATAACCCCACCTGACTATCTCCCAGGCACCTCAAACACAACTTGTCCAAAACAGAAATCTAAGCCAACCTTGACCTTTTCCTTTCCCCACAACCCCGGAACCCGAATCATGACCAAATTCACTTATCTCTCTCCCCACGATCAGTAGCTTAGACCCAGCCACCACGGCCAGCTGCCTGGACATCATCAACAGCCTCCTCACCGGTCTGACTAATCTCTTGCTCCTGTGCAATCTCTTCTCCTTACAGAAGCCAGACAGTTGTTTAAACAATGCAAATGATTACTTCCCTGATTAAACCTTTAATTACTTCCCTTTCTTAAAACCGATGGCTTCCTGGTTGCTTTTAAGAAAAGAACAAAACCTTTGAGAGGGTCTGAAGAGGACAGCTAGATCGGCCCCTGCATCCTTTCGTTGCTCAATCTCCCTGACTCTCTAAGCTCAAGCTACCTGGTCTTTCTGGACCTTGAAATGGCCACGCACTCCTTTCTGCTTCAGGACCTTCCAGCCTTGCTCTTCCTTCCTCCTGGAAGGCCCTCCAGGCTCCTGCCCACTCTCCCCTAGGTCGTTCCTCACCCTCAAGGACCCCTTCCTTCCGAGGAAGCCCCCCCAAGCCCACCCACATCTCCTTATCTGCTTGGTAGCAGCTACTTCCTTCCTTCCTTGTCCTTATCCCAGTGGTTTTAAGTAACTGTGTCTTAAACTGTCTGTCTTTCCCACTGGACTATGAATTCTGCGAAGGCAAAGCCTCGTTTGCCTTGTTCCTCACAGTATATCCAGGGCCTGGGACATAGTAGCAACTGGGTAAGTGCTTTTATTTTTTTTAAAGATTTTATTTATTTATTTATTTTTAGAGAGAGGGAAAGGGAGGGACAAAGAGAAGGAGAGAAACATTGATGTGCAAGAGAAACATCGATTGATCGGTGGCCTCTCACATGCTCCCAACCGAGGACCTGGCCTGCAGCCCAGGCACGTGCCCTGATGGGGAACTGAACTGGTGACCCTTTGGTTTGTGGGACAGTGCCCAGTCCACTGAGCCACACCAGTGTGAGCTGGATAAATGTGGTTTAATAAAAAAGTGAGTATCATAAAAGCTGCAAAATGAAGAAATGAACACCCTGTTTTGTAGAATTATAAGGAGGAGCTGGACCGGGAAGGATGCCAATGTACCCCTTTCCGTGTGGAAAGTCCAACGTTCTGTGCTAAATGAGCCCACTTTCCAGGGAAGAAGGCATACCTGGTGGCTGCGCTTCCTCCTCCTGTATCTTATCCCACTTCTGGCAAAGCAAGAACAAGTTACCTTCCCCAATGCGCATGGTTCTGGAGCCAGGTGCTGGGGCTGGCCTCTAGTCCGTGCATCACTGTATCCCCATAGTCCATAAAGGGCTTGTTAAGCCTGCAGGAGAAAGTGCACACACAGTTACTAAGAAGCAAATGTAAGTCAGGAGACACACAGCAAGGCAGGACCCAGCTGCAGTGGAAAGGACACTGGGGCAGCGACCAAAGTTCTGGTTCAGACTTTGACACCTGGAGGCACTTCCTTGGTGGATTGTTTTCCTTACTTGTCAGGTGGGTTAGTTACTATATAATAGACACTTTGCACGGGTACTGTAGTTTTCATACCCATGATCCCACTGGATCCTCTTGATCCAGGAGGCAGGGTTAGGTGGGGATTGTTTATGTGCAGTTCGCAGGTGAGCCAGGGAGTTAGGCACCGGGGCCTGACTGAGGGCACCCGCTGAGTCATGTGGCGGAGCCTCCCCTTGTGTCCCTGCCCCGAACGCTTTTGTATTTTTCTTGGCCTTGTTGGAGGAAATGAAGAAATCAACTCTTGTTATGTGTAGGGTGTTTCTGGGATGCCCCTGAGAACCAAGCACCAAAGGATTTGACACAAGGACGCTGCTGCCCTTACCTGTGGCAGAAGTGCTGGGCACACCTGACCAGGATGTGCATGCAGTGGCAGGCGACGAAGCCCATTGCCAGCAAACTCAGCGGGCCTGTCTGGAGCGGGGGTGGGCAAGGGAGGGGCAGAGAAAGGAGAATGAGTTTGTGAAGAACGCTGCGGGGAGGCATTTGGTAGTGCAGATATTCAGGACTCCAAGAACTTCCTAGCAAACTGGTTTGCAAGGCCTTTTTAGCAGCGACAGCTATTCTTTCAAATACAATGTCAAGGAGTACTCCGGAAAAGTACATAAAGCCATGACAATGGGGTGATGTGGTGGGAGTAAGGGACCAGAATTCTGATGTTTAGTGGCCTCTGAGGCGTCCCTGGGAGGTAGTGCTCCATGGAACACAACTGCAAAGTCACGGTCCAACCCCTGCATTCTGCAAAGGAGGAAACTGAGGCCCAGAGTGGACAAATGACTTGCAAAGGCCACTTGAAGTCTGTGGCAGAGCTGGAACTCCAGCTCAGACTCAATGTCTAGACTCCAAGTCTGGACCGGAAGGACTGCTCGTTGCAAGCCGCTACAACCCCTTGCAGGGGTGTCCAAACCACGGCCCACGGGCTGCGTGTGGCCCAGGATGGCTATGAATGAAGCCCAACACAGAATGTAAATTTACATAAAACTTTTTTTTTGCTCATCAGTTTCCATTAGTGTTTGTATATTTAACGTGTGGCCCAAGACAACTCTTCTTCTTCCAGTGTGGCCCAGAGACGCCAATAGGTTGGACAGCCCTGCGAGCCTCTCCAGCCTACTCCCGGCCACAGCCCAGTTGTACTGGCCCCGCCCTCCTTACCAGGAGGCCTGCGTTCTTCACAGCCAGGGGAAGTCCCAGGATGCCTGTGCCCATGTTGCATTTTACCAGGTGAATCAGGGCCTGGAAGGCTCTAAAGGGGAGGAAAAACACACGAGGACCTGGGTGTGTGGAGGGGAGGAGATCCAACAAACATTCCCTCCCGGCACGCCAATGCCGGCGTTCAGGGGGATCGTTGGGCTCCAGGCCACCTCGCAGTCCCCGTGGCCTTGCCGGGCACCTCTGAGTCTCCTGCAGGGTCTGTCCAGAACTATCCTGGTTGTAGCACCGGACACTCACTATATCATTGTAATGCTTACTACGTAACAGACATTATGTTTACTTCTTTACATGTATTATCTCATTTAACCCTCTTGTCAAAGCAAGGAAGTCGATGAGGAAACTGAGGATAGAGGTTTTTAAAAATGACTTGTCCAAGGATATACTGGGGAGCCAGGATTTGAACTCAGGACTGCTTCAGAGTTCTTCACCCCACTTCCACTGGACTGTTTCCTGGAAACAGGCCCAGACAGATAAGTAAAGGACACCCCATTTCATAACCAAGGAAACTGAGACTCACACAGTGGTACGAGAACAGCCCAAGGTCATCAAACTAGTAGCAGAGACAGGATTGAATTGAATGCAGAGAAGAGAGAAACAGGCAGGCAGCAAGGAAGTCATTGTGACTCCTGAATAAATAGGTCAGATGACTTGGGTCCCCCCTGCAGTCTGTTAGGACAGGGTCACTTGAGGATTGAGCTGCAGAATGATTCCCCACCCCCCCACCTCAGGCCAGGACATCAGGCTGAGGCAGGGCACGACTCCTCCCACCCCAACACACACAAAACCACTCCGACCTTTTCTTTAAGACAGAGAGCTGACCAGAGGACAAGGTCTACAGCTCCAGAGATAAGATTCTAGGGAGGTATGCTCTCTGTTGACAAATTACAAAACAACCTGTTTTTTACCTCTCTGCACCCGGACCAGATTAAACCGAGGTGAGTAATGAATTTACACCTTCAATTTCAAAAGCCTTGGGAATTCCCCAAGGAGAGCCTTCTGGAGAGGAGGCTTCTCCTAAGGAGTAGCAGAAGTATTCTGGAAGGAGCCCAGCCTCTGAGCTAGGACACATCAGGGATTAAAACCCAAGGCTACTTACTACCTAACTAGCTGTGCCATTCTGGGCAATGTACCCACACTGCTGAATCTCCGTCAATATTTGGAGGAGTTTGAAATAACTGCTCCAAACACTTTGTTAAACCCTCACTTCTCTAGCTTCCTGAGGCTCTCCCCGTTAATTCAAGGGTTAAGGAGAACAATTGGGGGAGAAGGAGACTGAGTCTCTGCATGCCTTCCCCTCTCCCCGTGGGTGTTAATACTGCTGACCCAGCGAGCGCAGTGCCCTGTGGCCCTCCAATGATGTGCTTGTCTTGCAAGTAGGAAAAAGTCAGTGGGTCACTGTGGACTTAGGAAATCAAAATTTAACTTTGGGCCACTCAGCTGGCTTGGAAACACAGCGGGGTGAGTTGTGCAGAGCACTGAGCTGGGAGGCGGGAAGCCTGGGTTTTGGCCCTAACTCCTTCGGTGACCTTGGGCTAGCATGCTATTCACAGCAGCTACCACTTCTGGAACATGACACTTGGTGGCTTTGTGTGCAATTCACCCGTACAGCCGTCCCGGGAGGAGCACATTGTCATCTCACAGAGGAGAAACCGGGCACAGAGAGGTTCTGTCACTCAGCTGGGAGGCAGCTAAGTGGGGACTGGAACTCAAGTCAGCTGATCCCATAGGAACCATGCTTACCAGACCTGTTTTACTACTTCCCTCCAGGCCGGAGGGGCCCTCTAGTTGCTTGTTTCTTTGATTCTTAAGTAGCCTAGATTGCCACCAAACTATGCATCAGTTCAAGAAGCAAGAGCCAATTGGCTCCCTCAAGGCCTCTGGTTGAGAAATACCCCAACTCGGCAGTGGCTGGCCCAAGGCCTAGAGAATTCACCCTCTAGGCCTTGTCATGCATTCTTAGCAACCTTCGGAACTGGCCCCGGGGCAACAAAACCCTCAGACCCTTTCTGTGAGATAGATGTGAAGGTTGCCTTGTCCACCCCTCGATTGCTCTGCAAGATGGCCGTGGAAAGGGGCTTTGCCTGCCCTTCATAGTAGCTTTTCTCTTCTTCTTCAACCCCCACCCCCACCCCATTCCTTTGGATTTAACTTCCAAGGCTGCCTCCTCAAATTCACATGCCACTGTTTTATCTCTGTTTTTGCACCTGGGAAAACTGAGGCTCGGAGAAGGGAAGAAGCAGAGTCACACCTTGAACGCAGTTGTCCTTTCTCGCACACCGGTGGTGTCAAACCTGTCTCCATGCCGCCCCACCCGTTTCTCCTCGGGGAACTTGCCTCTCTGTTCCAGTGGTGGAGGCCAGGGGAGCTGGAGCCTGGCAGCTGGCTTCCCTGCCTAAACTTTCAGTAGATCCTTCCTTGTCATGGTTTGCAAGCCTCGTGAGTGATCCTCTCCTACCCTCCCCACCCCCCGAAACAGACGTCAGGGAGAAACTGGACTCTTCCGTACCCTGTGGTTTTGATGTCACCGTGGCACGTCTCATGGAAGGAGAGGCCAGCGCCACTTCAGGGAGGAGGCAGGTCTTATCTCCTCCTCCAAGAAGCTGGGGATTCTGCCCACCTCCCCAGTGTTATCAAAATGGGCCAGGAGCAAAACTGACTTTAGGGCCAGCAGTGGATTCCAGCCCCCATCCTGCCAATGACCCCAGTGAAAGGCCTGGGATGACTGGGCCTCAGTTTCCCCACCTGCATGTTTTGGAAGCTAGTTCACTATATGCTAAGGGTTTTCTGACACTTTCCACTCCTGTTCCTTTAAGCTCTCAGCCTGACTCAGCCTAGAACTGCCCCTTTTGCAACCTTGGTATTCCCATCTGTGCAAAGGGTTGGGGGTCAGACACCTACCTACCCACCCACCGTGACCCCAGGGCTTTTGCCAATGCAAGCTTCCAGGCTGGATGGGCAGATGAGGGGACAGTGGGGAAGAGCACTCACGTTATACCCTTTGTCTTCTCCAAGACCGGCAACTCGGAAGCGCTTCCCTCCAAGAAGCTGGAGTCCTTGTCCTGCAGCTTCTCGGCACTTTGCAGAGGTGACCTGAGGTCTAGTTTGAGCTCCACAGCTCCCTGGGGACCCCCAGCACGCTGTGTTTCGGGCATGACCACCTCAGAAGCTGAGACCTCTGGGTGATGAGGAGGTCTGTGTTAGAAAGAGGCAAGCAGGGAGGTGTCTGGTCAGGTGCAAACCCCAACTCAGTGGCCTGTCCCTTCTTAGCAAGCTCTGGCCAAACTGGAGTGAGGCCCCACCCACCTCCCCCAGAGGGTGCTCCTCCTGGCCTCAGACGCTGTGGAAGAGGAGCTGGTTGGGAGGAGACAGAGATGGGGGGAGGGATTTGGGAAGGGAGTCGTCATCCACCCATTACCTAGCAATAGTAATGGCAATGGTGACTACAATACTGATCATTTCAGTAACTAGTATTTATTCACTGACTCTTTTAAGTGCTTTACCTGTATTTTCTCATTTAATCCTATAAATTACATAATGAGGGAAGCAGGCTCCGAACTAAATAAAGGAGCCTGCCCATGTTCTCATACCTAGAGAATGAAAGAGTAGGGACCAGAGCCCGGCTCCTCGCGCTTTTTAACCAGCCCCCGTTTCCGGTATTCCAAGGGCACGCCCACGCCCTCCCACCGCCGCGGGCATCCCGGGGCAGGGCTGCGGGCCTGCTGGAGGGCCTCCTTCCGGGAGCGCCCCTCTCCTGGAAGGTTTTTTTTTGGGGGGAAAAATCACTCACTCACCTCTTACTGCGTTTTAGCTCTTGTGAGGCTCCAGGGAGAGAGGAGTGGAAATTCTCTTGGAAAAATGGGGACGTTGCAAGGCAGAGATTTTCCAGTCCCCCAGTCAAGTTTCACTGGGCAGGACGCTGGGCCGGGAAAGGGCGTGATTTGCCTAAGATCACCACTGGTCGTTCTCCAGAGAGCGGCTCCTCCGAGGGAGAGGACCCTGGGGGTGTCTCTGGTGCTCCACCCTGTCATCGCCTCTGCCTGGGTCACAGGGAGATGAGCGGGCCAACACTGCCTCCTCCCTCCAAATTATAGTGTTTTACTCAAGGCACACCACTCCCCGCGCCACCCACCGTCTCACACGCCAAGAGCATGGCTGCAACATCTCACAGCGAACTGGTAGCATCTGAGACAGATTTGTCTTGTCCCCTCCCTTATGTGGGACCCTTTCCAAGGTTCTGTGTGCAATTTCGAATTTGTAATTTTGTATTCTTGTCCTTAAAGAGTCCCTCTCCACCCCTCACCGCTACTATCCCAGCGCCCTCCCCAGTGGCATAAGCTTCAGGCTCCACAGAGCCTGGCTACTGCTCTGGGCAGCATTGTTATTTTGCTTTTACAGAAGAGGAAACTGAGGCTCAGAGGGGCAATGAATAGTTTGTTCAAGGTCACAGCTACTCTTTGGTAGACCCTGACCTCCCTTAGCCAGATCTTTCTATCTCTGAAGCCCGCAGCCTTGACCACTACCCTCACCCCTTGGTTTGAGTCCTGGCCCTGCCTTTCAAGTTTCTTGCCCTGAACCCACTGAAACCCTCATTGAGGTTTGAGAAACGTCCTCTGTTCACTTCTCTGGCACCAGGACGTGGCAGTATTCCCGGTGTGAGGGTGGCATCCTGTGGCCTGCTCCTTCGCAGCACTGAAGTTCCATGACTCCATTCTAAGCTCAGGGCTTATCCCACAGAAAGATCCTGCTCCTGCTCAGCCAAGAAAATGAGTAAATTAGATGGTCAAGAAGCTTGAGATGTTTATATATGAGGCTAGTTCTTGCTTTCCTTTCCAGGTTGTGAGAAGAACTCGGAGCCAACCCTCAAACCTCTGGGGAAGAGCTGCTGGTGCATCAGAATTCGACTGGGTCCCTTTCCAGTGTCAGCTAAGAGGACACGTGCAGGGCACTGCCCGCACACCTCCACCTGGCTGTGCTGCCCATCGGGAGCTGGGCCTCCAGCACGAGCCCTTCTCTATACACGAGCCCGGCACCTGCAGCTCTGTGTTCTGCTGCGGCTCTGCCGTGCTGTTGAGGCCTGGGGAAGGTACGGCTCCGTTTGCCCCCTTGGGGAGTGGGCACTGGACCCCGGAGGGCTTCTGAGAGACTGAGGATGCAGGAACTGTGCTTTTCACCCCCCTGGGCCTCCTGGGGGCCGAGGCCCAGGCAGGGCGCATGCGGACAGCCTCCCCACTTGACATCCTCATAGAGGGGGCGCCAAATGGGGTTTAGGTAATCACGACAATCGTTTATGATCCTTTAAACAGAAGGCCTTGCTTCTTTCATTCTTATATGACAGTTTGGAAAGTTGGTGTGCGTCAGAATCAGTTGCGGGGGGAGCGGCGCAGAGAGACCCCGACTCACTGAAGTAGAGAGAACGTGGGCCTTTGTGTTCTTGCCAAGTCCTCCAGGGGTTCCTGGCAAGCTCCGCTGCTCCCTGGGGCAGGAAGAATTGCCCCTCTTTAATAGACTAGAGAATCAAGGAGGATAGCCTGTGGGTCTTTGCAGCCTGGGGCTGATTACTGTGACTCTGCCCCCTGCTGAGATGATAATGTCTCACGTGTATTGAGTCAGCTCTACGTGCCTTGCTCTAGACTAATCCTGACATTTCAGGGGTAGCCTGGGATTCCACAGGGTAAGGATTCCGTCCTACAAGGCCTCCCCTCCCACTTCTGACGCCAGCAGAAGAGCCCAGGCTCTTACCTGTGTTTCTGACGGACTGGCTATCAATGGAAGGTCCCAACAGCCCCTCCAACTCAGAACGCCCACCCCAAGTTCAGGTCGTTACCTGTGCTTCTGATCAATTGGCTGTGGATCAGAGGTTCGTATAACCCCCTCCTTGGGTTTGATGGATTTGCTAGAACAGTTCACAGAACTCAGGGAGACATGCTACTTACTAGATCACTGGTTTATTGTAAAAAGATACAACCCAGGAAGAGTCAGATGGAAGAGAAGCGTAGGGCGAGGCGTCTCCCTGCATCTCCACGTGTTCACCACCTCGGAAGCTCTCCACTTCCTGCCCTCCTGGGTTTGTGTGGAGGCTTTGTTAGTCACAATTGATTAAGTCATGGGCCACTTGTGATTGGTGCCACCTCCAGCCCCTCTCTCCTTCCCAGAGGTCAGGACGGGAATGAAGTTTCTGTCTAAGTCACGTGGTTGGTTCCCTTGGCAGCCAACAACCAACTCCCATCCTTAGGTGCCTCCCAAAAGTCACCTTCACCGATTAACATAGCTAAAGACCCTCTCGACACTTAGGAAATTCCAAGAGTTTTGGAAGCTGGGTGTTAGGAATTGTTGACAAAGACCAAATAGAAATGAGAAATATATTTTAGTCACTTGAATGGGCAAATAATTTATTTCTTATAATGGGCTGGGGGGAGGGGGGGAAGGCAGCATGAATAATGCATCCGAGTACAGATCAGAAGATTATATTTGTTACAAATCCCGACACTGCAGTAAGGAAGGCCCTGTTATCACAAGCATTTCACAGGTGAGTGTGGAGGAGAGACGGGTCCATGACCAGACCGCTGAGTGATGCTATGACCCAGACCCCGGCCTGGAGGGAGGTTGTTTTCCACAGACCTCCCTGGGGGACTATGTTGATATTAATCACCTTGTGTTCTGATGCAAACCACACTACTCTCTGGCCTCCAGGTATGGGCTGGGTGTGGCAAACACTCTGGTTGTCCTGGCCTGGTCAAGCATGAGAAGCAATTTCCCATACCTGGTAGCAGCCACATACTTGCACACATGCGTATTCCGCCCTGCCCCCCTTCCCTGTATAATTTTCTGACACTGGCTAAGTGGTTCAGGGACAACTTGCAGTTGTCCAAGACACACCTGGTTTGTAAGTTTCCCTCCATAAACCGCCAATTACCAAATTGGAGTGGCCAGCCTCTTTCTTCCTTTTTTTTTCTGCCCTCCACTTAGGAAGGTGGAATTTCGGTCTGGGGGCCTTTCCCTGTGTCTGTGCATTGTAGCAATTGGTGAGCCAGCCAGCAGCCCTATGAAATGGGCCTTGGGAAAGAGACATCAGTAGGGAAATCCTGAGCTGGCCTTCTGCTTCTATGTGGGAGCAGTGTCCCGTATGTTTAGAGGCATGTGGGCCTCCAGGAGAGGATGGAGAAGCCCTGAAAACCCTGGCTAGTCTCATGCACCTGTTTAAGGAGTTGCGCAGTGCACACTGTGGCAGGAAGGAAAGCACGTGGCTGCAGCTGTGGGCTGACCTCTCTCATGGGTGGTTCAGCTGGCCACAGACACCCAGCTGGAGGCAGAAGCCAGTGGAGCAGAAGCTTGTCACTTGGCCTCACTGAGAGGGCGCAAGCTGCCATGACCTAAGGTCAAAGCGTTTGTGACTCAGCCAAACTGGGATACAAAGCACTGGGATCCATAGGAAAGTGAGGACAGGGAGAAAGTGGACACTGCAGGAGGAGATGGCAGGACGGATGACACACCCCATGCCATCTGACCTTTGATTCTGAGGAAAGAAAAAGTGCAGCAGTAGCAAGGCAAGACAGCCTCCAGAGCAAGAGACTGAGGGTGAGGGAACACACATCCCTGAACTCTTTAACAGAGGCACCGCATTTCAGCAAAGACCAGGTAAAGGATTCCCACTGAGCTCACATGGCCATGGGACAACAGGGGTGATGGTGTTTCCCTGACCATCAGGAGCCTGGAGCATGAGTAACATCATCGTGCACCCTAGACTGTAACAGGAAAGTCGCCTCATTCTGTCCATTGGGTGCTCTCCCCACCACTCCTCCAAGACGACCAGGCCTTCAGTTCCCCAACCCCAGAGAACACACCTGGCATTTACACCATGTAAGGGCAGACTTTACAGACCTCTGTGGAAGAATTTCACCTTCAAGGACAAGTAATTAACACAGTGCTGAGAGCCAAGACCAACTGGGAGCCTGTTAGTTTACTGCCACTGCAGAGAATGGTGATGGTTGAACAATGCCAACTACCAGGATGGCACAGGGAACAGGGGAGACTGTCCAAGAACTCCACCGAGTGGCGTTGTATGCCCTGTTCACAATGTGTTTACCAGCTCATTGCAGCCAGTAAAAAGCCAGATGCCTCTGGGAGGATGACAGTAGACTGCAGAGAACTAACTAAAGCCGTGCCTCGTACTCATGCAGCTCTGCCTAATGTTGCTACCATATTAAACCCATCTGCAGATACCAGCAGTCTCTGGGGACGTGCTGAGGGTCAGCAGGGCTGGCCCTCTGGTATGGGTCCTCCTGTGTGGGTTGCATACCAAAACACAAGGTGGAAACTGGGAATTGTCAAGATTGCCTTGAATAATCACGTAAACACCCTACAACACAGGAATGTGTTTAGAGGCCGTACAGGAGGAAAAATGGCACACGTGTCTCCCGGCTCTAGAATCTCACTTAGGAGTGCTGAGAGCCTCACTGCAGGGAGGCATGAGAGTGACGGAGACCTACAGAGAAGGCGGTGGAGCCACGTTTCCCATCTCAGCTCCTTCAGGGGCAGCTATTCAATGAGTTGGACTATGGGGTGAAACTGCCTGCGCTTTAGAAATAGTGCGCTCCGTCCTGGCTGGTGTAGCTCAGTGGATTGAACCAAAGGGTCACTGGTTCGATTCTCAGTCAGGGCACATGCCTCGGTTGCAGGCCAGGTCCCCAGTCAGGGGATGCATGAGAAGTGATCACACATTGATGTTTCTTTCTCTCTTTCTCCCACCCTTCCCCTCTCTCTCAAAATAAATAAATAAAATCTGAAAAAAAAAAGAAGTAGTGTGCTCTCTCTTTTTCATAACTGAATGTGTATGAGGTCTGAGAACGCATGATGTGTATGTTCGAAAAGCTGGCCTGGGTTTCAGGAGATCTGAGTCCTCACTGAGCCTCACTCACTAACTGTCTAGGTCGCCTTACGTCCCCGAACCTCCTTTGCCTCACGTGTACATTGGGGACATGCTCTGTATCTGCCAAAAGGCAGGGGCTGCATCTGATGGCCTCGGAAAGATGGTGATCGTGACGTGCTGACCATATAGGGCTCATTTTTTAAAAGCCAAAGGTAGGAAAAATGAAAGTGCTTCTTCATGGATATAAGACAGAGAAAAGGTTAGTAATTGTGTCAGCGCAATGCTCAAAAAGCCTTTAGTGATATCCCATTGCCTACAGTAAAGAGTTCCACACTTAAGCCCGGGGTTCAAAGCCCACTGAATTTCAAGTCCACTTTCCTGCCATCTCGTCTCACAGCAGTCCCTCCTTCGGTCTTTGCTCCATGTGTCCAATGTCGCACCGCACCAACCAGGCCATCAGAGCCATCCCCTGAGCACACCGTACACCTTCGCAATCAATGCCTGTTGCATGAGCTGCTCCCTCTGCCCAGAATGTCCTTTTCCTCTCGGTAATCGCTCACGTTCCTGCTCAAAGCTGTTCAGGTCTCAGAGGCTCTTGCTACGCTTCTCTGTTCCCTGGTCACAATCCCTTCTCCTTCTTTTGCATTCCTGCAACACTGGGTCATCACCAGGTTCCAGACAGAATATAATTGGTGGTGTGTGAGGTGAGGGAAGGGGTCCAACCATGTCAGGATTCCTTGACCGGGTTCTCTGTCTTGCAGCGGGTAGACGGGGCTGCAACAAAAACAAATCAGACGTGTGTCTAAACCACTTAGTGCAGGGGGAACATTCGATACATACCTGCTATTCTTTCCTCTCCTTCCTCTTAATGATCGGTGTGAGTTACTCAGAAAACTAAGTTACCACCTTATATTTTTCTAAATATCTATTGTTTATACAGTAGATTAAGAACATGAATTTCTGTTCTTTAGGGCCATAGAGTTAAGCTAAGCCAGCTCCACCTGCACGTCATCCTTCTGGCTCTGAGGCCTGAGCTCACTCACCAGCAGCTGGAGTGGTTTCGGATGGTGCTCGCACAGGTGGTGGGCCCAGAAACTTAAGGTAGCCCAAGGCCCCAAGACCTCTGTACAGGGTGGTGACCGAAAGCATCCCCCTGCACAGGATGACTGGAAACTGGGCAGGGTCTCGCATCTTGTATTCCAGAGGCAAAACCTGTGAATGGAATGGCCATAATTACACAGAGGTCCCCATTTATGTACAGACCCCATTTACCCATTGTTTATTATTCTAAATGCATGCATCTCATCCATCACAAAGCGTGAGAGGAAAAAACTCCAAACTCCAAAACACAGCACCTCTAAGTACAAGGAATTATACCAATATCAGTATATTGATAATATGAATTATATCAGTAATACGAATATATATCAATAATAAGAATTATAACAAGATCAGTTACAGAAACAACTTCAAAGTGCTCTAGTCCAGCCATCCATACTTGAGTATCCTATTCCATGCTCAGGACAGGCTCTTCGGCTGAGCAGCTTTGTGGTCCATGGATGAAGGTGACTGCTGCTGTTGATTGATGTGACGGAAAATCGCAGTTAAAATGTACAGGCTTGTGTCTTCAAAGGAGTTGTGCTTCTGAGCTAAGACCACCAGGGGGCGCTCCAACCCTAATTTGAGGCCTGGGAGGTGTCCTTCCAGCAGTAATGAAGGTGTGCATAATTTTGGATTCCTTTGGCTAGGGTGGGTGGGGGTGAGGACTAGAGGGAAGAGTACCATACACACTGGAATAAGCAATAGTTCCTAACCAAAGGATGGAATCGGAATATAAATTGTACTGGCACCAGGACTGAAGAAACCTGCTTCCTTATTTGTGGTATGATTTAGTCGTCTAGAAAAATACATACTCATCCTTTATTCCAGCTCCAGTTACCTGTGATTCTGTGTCTCAGAATCAGCTCTGTTGGGGACATCACCTCTGAATAATGGTCCAGCCAACCCTGTCCCCTGGGAAGGCCAATCACCCCCCAGTTGAGAACCACCGCTCTGGATTCTATACTTGTTCCGACTAAATTCTGCTTCCTCTCTAGGAAGCACTGAGTTCTCACCAGTAGTTTTACACCACGTGGTATAACAAGGGAGGAGTTATTGGCCCTATTTAAAAGCATGACTTACCCAGGGTCACATGGCCAGTGAGTTGCAAACTTAAACTCTGCCCAATCTTTATCCCTGATGTCTTTTTTCTTTTTTCAAGTCTTGCCATGATGTCCATGGGATCAGCTCCTCAGAAACCCTCCCCTCACATTTCTGAAGTGACCTGGCCCCTCTATATCAGTTATGATTTCTACTGATGTTTTCCCTAATTATAGTTGTTTGGTTCATGGGTGGCACCTGACTCAAGGTGAACCAATGAATGCCTTCCCTGGATTTTTTGGAAACAGAGCATCAGCTTAGTCTCTGATGCCTAAAATGCTAAAATGTAAAATGCAAGAGCCCTGGACAGAGTGGGCTGGCATCAAGAGAAAGAAATGAAGGCAATGCATGAGCACTGGAATGAGCAGAGACACTGGAACCCTGATGGCGCCTGACTTCTGGGTTTATGCTCCTACTAAAGCCTTCCTCCCTCAGGATCCCTCTGGGGACTTGGCTGTCCGGAGAACGTTCTCAGGATCTTTCTCATGCAGTCTCCTTTTGTTCACCGGTTACTTCAACTTGAGTTGAACCAGAGTGCTCATTAGGAGTTCCACCACTGTGCCCTTCTGGTGCAAGGGCAGCACATCTGACCTCAGAGTTGTTCTTCTCGCCCCCCAACAAAATACCTACTTGTTGGGTAACAAACAAAAGCAACAGCCAAACAACAACAACAACAACAAAAAAACCCAACAATCAAACAAACAAGAACCCTTCTTAATATCAGTCATATGCTCCTAAAAATTTGATGATTTGTTCAAGCACATTAACTGATAAGTAAGTTCCTATTATTTTAAATAGAAAAAAAAAGGTCACAGGGCACATCAATCTCAAATACATAGCATTAACAAATAAGTTTGTGTACATTTTTAAAACGTGATTAGATGACTTTTTAAAACACGTATTATTGACTATAAATGCAATATGTGCTTGGGACGTATTAAAGGAAATATAGCAAGGACAAAAACGACCTTTCAAAAGCCCGCACTCAGGGTACTGTGCGCTTCAACTTGGGACTCTCCGCGCATGCTCTGAGGCCAACACCCCGCCCAGTTCCCGTTTCGCGTATCCAGCCCCCAAGGAACACAGTTCTTCCTGCAGTGGCAGCAATCGGTCGCCAGGGGGTGCTGCGCAGCCGCGTCCTGGAGCACCGCGAGAGGGGAGGGGCTGCGGCTCGCGGAGGCTTCCGACCCCCGCCTCTGGTTTGGGCGCCTGGGTCACGTGGCGAGGCCCGGAAGCGGCTGTGGGGTAGCTCTGGGAGATGGGGAGACCTCCGCGCTGAGGCGGGGTGAGGTGCACTGCACTGACGCTGGAGTCCCAGCCGGAGTCCCAGCCATAGCCGAGCCGGAGCCGGAGCCGGAACCGGAACCCGAGCGGTGAGTCCGCGCGCTGCCAGGCTGTGGCTGGGGAGGCCAGCCAGCGCCTTCCTCGGGGCGCCGCGGATGCTCAGGGTCCGGCACCGGCCGCCTGGGATGCGGCTCCGAATCTCCCGGGCTCCTCGGCCGCAGCGGCGGTACCCCGCGGCCACCCCTCCTGGGAGGAGGCGACCCGGAGACTCCCTTGTCCACCACGCTCTCCCCCTCGACCTACCCGTTCTATTTGACAGGTGGGGGAACTCAGGTCCCGAGAGGGGAAACATCACCCAGACGACCAGCCGGGGCGTCTGACACGCTTCCGAAAGGAGTCCGGCCGTCGCCGGCTGGTCGCGCGCAAGTCACCGGCCCTGTGTGGGAGCTGCTCGGTGGGGACCCGCTAATTGTGGGTCTTCGGGTCGTAGAATACCAGCCAGACCTGCAGGGACTTTGGAAATCATCTGCTGCACCGCCCCCCGGCGCCCCCACCCCAGCGCAGTCGGGAAAATCGTGGCCCAGGAAGGGGCAGGGCTTGCCTAAGGCCACCCAGGGAGCGAGTCGCAGCGCCGCGCCTGGGAGCCCGGTCTCCCTGAGTTCAGCAGCAGTTACCTGTCCACCGCACCGCCTCCTGCAGAAAACTTGACACGTGGAAGGCACCTTCTCCCGGGCCCCTTGTCTCTTATTCCTCTCCCTGTTTTCCGCTCTCCGTTCTCCACCGCCCCATTGGGTTGCCTCTGGGCGTGGTTCCCTGCTTGGTGTGGACGATTTTTTTCTGCGAACTCATCATTCTTTAGGTTTTGTTTCCAGCCGTCCTGCGATTTTGTCGTAAATCCTGCCAAAATAGGACCTGGGAGTCGGAGTGAGCTCCTGGAGGGCAGGCTACTCCCCGCTGAGGTGGTGGAGAGCCCTGGCGTTAACGCCGAGCGCACGCAGATGGTTGCTTTTTTTTTTCCCCCGTGGCTGGTCCGATTCGGGGATGGTGATGATTTCAGTGGATGCTTTGCCGTTGTTTGAGGCTTGCCGAAATGAGATGACAGCGCAGTGTAATGGAAAGAACCGAGATTGGGAAAGCTCTTGTTCTCGCTCTGACACTCGGCGCTGCAACCTTGGGTGACCCCGGTCCGCGCTTGGATTTAGGTTTCCCAGCCCGTACAAGAGACGGGGTCGAATCCCCCAGGGCCTCTTCTGCCCTGACATGCTCTCCGTCGAGGTCTGCTTTCTAATCAGAGAGTTTCTTCTCGCCGGTGCACATTAGTGTCTGCCTTGCAAAAGACTTGTCCAGCAAGCAGTTTCCCTACTTCTTTTTTTCCAGGTTGCCATGAAATCCTCCCCGTCTTTCTTCCTGTCTCTGCTCTGGGGCCAAGCTAAATGAAGACGGCAGAAAATGAGTTTGACCGTCTCTTTTTTATTATTTAAATATGATCAAGGACCTCTTTGACTCTTGTCAGGAGACCAGTCGACAGTAATCAGCTTGGACATGGAGAGCACATGCTCTTTAACGATGTTCTTGAAGTCGGGAAGTAAGAGGACTCGAAAGGCTTGGCGGTTCGCTCCGTGTCGGAGACCAGCTGTCTGGGGTGGAGGCTGTGTGCCGCGGAGGCTGCTCTGGTGACGGCATTACGTCCCTCTCCCTTTGTTTTCTGATTGTGCCGTTTGCAATGGCCTGCTCTCGTGTTCTTGTTTTCCCCTGACTGGCCAGTCGGCCTCATCCTTGTGGCAGCTTGAAGTGCTCAGAGCGGTCTTCTTCTATTTTAAAGGTAGTGTAAGGAGGTGGATTCGTTTCTTTTGCAATAGTCCAGAGATGACAACCAGGACCAGTGGCTGGAAGTGCCATATGGGAAGTGGTTTTTGGGGTGACCCTAAGAACTTTCAAAGAATTAGCATTTTCTCACATTGCAGCACAGTGCATGGAGGGCCCTGTCACCAGAGCTAATTGTCACTGGTCGATTACTTTTGGGGATGTTGTGGATTATTGTGTATTGTGGGTGGAGTGTTGGAGTCAAGTTTTAAGTTTTCTTCCAGGTCAGAGGTTCTGTGCGGTTCTAGGGCTGAACTAGTTAGCATGTGGGATGTGCGGTAGAACAGATAGGTGCTCACTTTGGGGAACAATTCACTTTCCCCCTTGCTTCAGATAGCTATTCTCATGTTAAGTGCTTTTTCATTTCTCTTTTTAATCCCCCCTTTCCCTGCCAGTGAGTATCTCTTCTTTAAATTCTTATGTCTTCAAGAGTTGGAGGCTGAAGAGTCATTGCTGTTAACACATTTCTTCTTCCCACCTTGACCTGAAGCAAGATCCTGGAACTGGGTTGAGTCAATAGACTTTGGGGCCTACTTTTGGAATTTTTTTTAATCCTCATCTGAGGATATGCTCATTGATTTTAGAGAGAAGGGGAGAGAGGGAGAAAATTAGGGAGAGAGGGAAAGAGGGAGAGAGACAGACAGACAGAGAAACCTCGATGTGAGAGAGAGACGTTGATTGGTTGCCTTTCATACATGCCCTGACCTGGGATCGACCCCGCAACCCAGGTTGCCCTGACCCAGAAATTGAACCTGCGACCTTTCAGTGTATGGGGTGATGATTCAGCCAACTGAGCCACATCAGCCAGGGCTTTGGGGTCTACTTGGTAGACTGGTCCTGATAACACCTTCCAGAAGTGGGTGACCAACTAACCACTAACACCTAACTTTGCTCTTTGTCGAATAGAAGAAATTCATACTGAGTCTGTTTCCTTCAGCCCAGGCCTGAGAGGAATCCTGAGCCTCCTTCCTTTGGCCAGGCCTCACTGGCTGGGTCTGAGCACACAAATCCAGCCTGTGTTGGATGGGTGTGGGACCTGGTGGATGGGGCATTGTGAGTGTACCAAAAGGGAAGCCACGTGCTGCTGCATTTGGTGCGGTCTCTTCTTTTATTTCCCAAACATTTCCCTTGGAAGCCTTGATACCCAGGGCCAGTTCTCAATGACCCTCTCTAGTAAGAAAGACTCCTCTGTGCTTCCCTTTTCCATGAAATTCACAAATCTGTCTGTCTGGGTTTGTAGGATGCTCACAGCACATAGATCACCATTCTCATGCTGGGGACCTGGCTCAGCACTCCAGAGTGATGGAATGGAGGAACTATGGCAGTGCTTAATATATAAAGTGAACTTTCTGACTCCCTGTCCTTGAACTTCTCTGCAGTAATCGTTACAATTGCTACCATTAATGAGGGTCCATTAGGGACCAAACAACATATCACATCTTTTCTTTCTACCTTTATAACAGTATTGTTATGTAGGTATTATTAACAACATTTTTCAGATGAGGAAACTGAGGCAAAGGGATATTAATTTGCTCAAGGTCACCAAACTAAGCTCTGAACTCATGTACTTTTTATTATGCAGAATTCCCTCAGCAGACCCAATCCTGTCTAGTTTTTGATCTGAGGGAGATTTTAGAGAGGGTAGATCATTTATGGTATGGTAGAGAACACTGGACCGGGAATCTGGTGTGCTAGATTCTAATCCCAGATCTTTATCCAGCTGGGGTTTTGGTTTTCTCACCTCTAAATGGGACTTTGGAGGCCAGTCTTCTGTAAATCACACCTGGTCCTAACCCTCAGTGATTTTTATGACCGTGGGTAAAAAGCAAGTGCATTTGCCTAGTCAGCTCCTTCTGTACGGAGCCCGCTGAGCTCAGCAGCTGTCTGGTGACTGCCCTCACACCAGCCTCTTTCAGGCAGGAGTCTGTTTGTGGAATGTACTTCTGTCATAGGTTAGATGGAGTCCTATCTGATGCTCTTTAAAAATAAATCATGTGGCAAAGAGCCCCACTCTAAGACACATCAGAATTACAATGCCAAAGGTTAAAAATCAAGAGAGGATCTTAAAAGCAGCAAGAGAAAGGAAGTTAGTTAGTTACAGGGTAGTTCCCATAAGACTATCAGTTGATTTCTCAAAAGAAAGTTTGCAGGCTAGAAGGATTGGCAAGAAATATTCAAAGTCATGAAAAGCAGGGGCCTACAGCCACAATTGCTCTAACCAGCAAAGTTATCATTTAAAATCAAAAGGCAGAAAAAGATCTTCCCAGACAAGAAAAAACTAAAGGAGTTTGTCATCAGCAAAGCATTATTATATGAAATGTTAAAGGGACTTACTTAAGTAAAAGAAGAAGATCAAAACTCTGAACAATAAAATGGCAAAAAAATACATATTTATCAACAATTGAATCTAAAAAAACAAACTAAGCAACCAAGAAGAACAGAAACAGAATCATGGATATGGAGAACGTTTTGATGGGTGCCAGATGGGAGGGGCTGTGGGGGATGGGTGAAGAGCTGAGGGGATTAAGAAGTACAAATAGATAGTTTCAGAATAGCCATGGGGATGTAAAGTGCAGTATAGAATATAGCAGCCAAAGAATTTACAAGCATCACCCACAGACATGAACAATGGTGGGGGGGACTGCCTGAGGGAGTGGGAGGTGCTGGGCGGACAGGGGCAAGGGGGGAAAAATCAGGACAACTTAATAGCATAATCGGTAACATACAATTAAACATAAAATATTTTAAAAAGTAAAAATAAATCATTTGGCAGTCAGAAATTTTCACTTTTCTCCCTGTAGATTACTACATGTAGCAGCACAGTCAGTATCCTTGTTCATGTCTTTGAATTCCAGGAAGAGAGAAGAGAAAATGCAACTAGAGAATTTGCTACTTCTCTGGGTTCCAAAGACCAACCCACAGTAATAGTTTCAGAGTCATGGATGGCAGGTACCTTTAGTCTGCACATGGTACCAACCCATGAACTCTGGTAGGAGGTGTGGTATGGGGTGTACCCATCAGGATGAGATGTAATTGTTTTTAGTGCTTTATATAAATCTACTTGTAACCAAGATAATCTGGTTGATTAAAAATAAAATGATCAGTTGGAGTCAGAAATTTGAGATTTTTTAGCAGTTTTATTGAGATATAATTCACATATCGTTCAACCATTTAAAGTGTACAATTCAATGGCTTTTAGTATATTCACAGAGCTGTGTAACCAAAACCATACTCACTTTTAGAAATTGTCTCCTTAACCATTACCTCTCAATCACTCCCAACTCCCTACCCTAAACTCTGGGCAACTACTAATCTTTCTGTCTGATCCCCCTCTCTAGACTTTCACATGAACAAAATCATTCAATATATGGCCCACGGTGGTTGACTTTGTTTGGTGAGAGTGATCTCTTCAAGGTTCATCCATGTTATAGCATGTGTCAGTATTTCATTTCTTTTTGTTGTTGAATAATTCTGTTGTATGGAGACACAGTATTTCTATTTATCAGGTTATTTCCATTTTTGACCGTTGGGGATAATGCTGCTATGAACATTTGTGTACAAGTTTTTCTGTGGACATATGTTTTCACTTTAATGTGTACTTAGGAATGGAATTGCTGGGTCATGTGGTGAATATGTGTAGCCTTTTGAGGAACTGCCACGTGGTTTCCAAACAACTGCACCATTTCACATTCCCACCAGCAGGACAAGAGGGCACCAGTTTCTTCACATCCTTGCCAGTGCTTGTAATCTGTCTATTTTAGCCATCCTGATAGGTGTGAAGTGGCATCTCATTGTGGCTTCTGATTTGCATTTACCTGGTGGCTAATGATGTTGAATATCTTTTCATGTGCTTATTATCTATTTTCACATCTTTGGTGAAATATCTCTTCAGTTCCTTTGTCCATTTTTATTTGGGTCATCTATTTATTATTGAGTTATAATAGTTCTTTATATGTTCTGGATATAAGTCCTTTATCAAAAATATGATTTACAGAAATTTCCTTGCATTCTGTGACCTTTCTTTCACTTTTTTGAGGGTGTCTTTTGAGACACAAACAAGAAAGTATGCTCTTGTATGCACTTTCCTGTTTAATTTTGATGTCTAATTTACCTTTTTTTTTTTTTGCTTTTGCTGTCATATGTAAGAAGCCATTGCTTAATCCAGTATCATGAAGATTTATGCCTATGTTTTCTTCTAAGAGTTTTATAGTTTTAGCTCCTACATATAGGTCTTTGATCCATTCTGATTTAATTTTTGCATATGATGTGTGGTAGAGTTCCAGTTCACTCTCTTGCGTGTCAGTATTCAGTTGTCCCAGCACCCAATGTTGGAAAGGCTCTTCTTTCCCCGTTGAACTGCCTGGGCGCCCTTG